CACCTCCTTGGTCACCCCTCTCTGCTTCGGCTCAGAGGCATGGCCTCCCGTCTTCTTGTGTCTGGTCTTCCCCAGTCCCTCCCTCCCCTTCCTCAGGGCCCTGGCCCTACCTGTGTCCCCTGTGTCGAGGGGCGCCAGCGTGCTGCCCCTCACTCCTCCCAGTTTCCTCCGACAGAGGCCCCGCTGCAGACGCTTCACATGGACGTGTGGGGCCCAGCCCGCGTCCGTGGACAGGGTCACGAGCGCTACTTCCTGCTCGTTGTTGATGACTACTCGCGTTACACCGCAGTCTTCCCTTTGCGCAGCAAGGGTGATGTCACTGAGGTGCTGATCGACTAGATCCGCGCAGCTCGTCTCCAGCTCAGGCAGAGCTTTGGCTCGGACTTTCCTATTCTGCGTCTGCACTCGGACAGAGGTGGAGAGTTCTCCTCTGGCCTTCTGCGAGCCTACTGTCGTGCACGAGGCATCCGTCAGACCTTCACGCTTCCGGACTCTCCGCAGCAAAATGGGATTGCTGAGCGCCGCATTGGCATGGTCATGGACGTCGCTCGTACGTCTATGATGCATGCGGCTGCCCCCCATTTTCTGTGGCCGTTTGCGGTGAGGTACACGGCGCATCAGATCAACCTCCACCCCATGGTCTCCAGGCCGTAGACCTCCCCAGCCTTGCTGTGGACGGGGAAGGTTGGCGATGCGTCGGCGTTCCGGGTCTGGGGATCTAGGGCGTTTGTCCGCGACTTGTCTGCACACAAGCTGTCCCCTCGTGCTGCTCCTTGCGTCTTCCTGGGGTTCCCCCCTGACGCGCCTGGGTGGCAGTTCTACCACCCCACCTCTCGCCATGTTCTGTCCTCCCAGGACGTCACGTTCGACGAGTCGGTCCCCTACTACCGCCACTTCCCCTACCGCACTCCGTCCCTCCCCCCGCCCCCGCTCTTCCTTGTACCAGTTCCCCCCCCGGTAGACCCCCTCCCCCCTCAGGGTCCGTCCCCTTCAGGTCTGTCCCAGGTAGACGCGGTCGAGCCTGTCGAGGTCAGTGGTGACTCTGGTGCTGCTGGAGGAGCTGAGCCTGGGGTTGCTGAGCCTTGGGGTGCTGAGTCTGGGGGTGCTGAGCCTGGGGGTGCTGAGCCAGGGGGTGCTGAGCCTGGGGGTGCTGAGCCTGGGGGGTGCTGAGCCTGGGGGTGCATAGTCTGGGGGTGCTACGCGTGGGGGTGCTGAGCCTGGGGGTGCTGAGTCTGGGGGTGCTCCGCCTCAGGGTGCTCAGCCGAGAGGTGCTCCGCCTGGAGGTTCTCCGGGTGCTTCATCTCTGCGGGAGCCACCCTCTCCACAGGAGCTGCGCGAGTGGTTTGCCCAGCGCTGGAGGCGTGCTGCTGGGGCTAGAGGTTCTTCGGCTACTGAGGGTGCTGCTCTTGCGGGTCTCGGAGGTGCTCGTACTAGGAGTACTGGAGCTGCTGGGCCTGAGGGTGTGCCTGGAGCTGGTGCTGCTGAGGGTGTTGGAGCTGAGAGTACTGCTGGCGGTCCTGCTGCGGGTGCTCGTGACACTGCTGGAGGTGTTGCAGGAGCGAGTTCTCCTGCTGGGGGTACTCGTGCTGTCCCTGCTGCTTCTGGCGTCGCCACGCGGCCTCGACCGTACTTCGTTCCACTCCTGCAGCAGGTTCTTGGTCTTCCACCTTCTACTGGTCCTCCTCCTCCCCTAGAGGGTCCACAGCCTGTCCCGTCACAGTCACAGTTACAGCCTACCTCCCCTTTACCTTCTCCTTCTCCCTACGCTGGTCCTACTGGAGGTCATACTGAGCGTCGTGAACCTGCGTCTCGCCCTGCGTCGCCTGTCCGTGCTGCTCGCACTAGTGGTCGCGGTTCGCGTCAGCGTCCTCCTCCTGTCCTTGGCACGCACCGGATGTCTCTGCGTCCGTCTACTGCTCCTCTGCGTGCCCCTTTGCCTTCTCCTCCTGAGTCCTCTCTTCCTGCTCTTGCCGAACCGGAGCCGGACTCCCTTCGTGCTGCCAGTCCTACTGTCACGCGTCTCCTTGCTTCTGTCGTCACTGACCCTTCTTTCGAGTCTACTGCTATGTCTGCCCTAGTTGCTGAGCTCGTCAACTTTGATGCCCGCTGTCGCCTAGACTACGTGCTAGTCTTGTCGCTGAGTCTGAGTCTGTCTGTCCTCCGTCCGTCGGGGGTGAGTGTGCCCTTGGCACGGACGTCCTTGAGGACAGGCAGGAGGAGTTCCAGTGTCTGGCAGCTGCTTCACCTCATCCCGTGTCCGTACTGCTTACCCCTGAGGGAGACCCGGATGCACTTGACATCTCGACTCCGCGCTCTTACACGGAGGCGATAGAGGGTCCCTACTCCTCTCAGTGGCAGGCAGCTATTGATGCAGAGATGGCTTCCTGGAAGTCCACAGGCACCTACGTTTTTCCTGTCCCCCCTCCTGGGGTGAACATCGTAAGTGGCATGTGGATCTTCAGGGTGAAGCGGCCGCCGGGTTCTCCGCCTGTCTTCAAGGCGCGTTACGTGGCTCGTGGCTTCAGTCAGCGGCAGGGAGTTGACTACTTTCAGACCTTCTCCCCCACCCCGAAGATGACCACTCTTCGGGTACTTCTGCACGTTGCTGGTCACCGTGACTACAAGCTGCACTCTCTCGACTTCAGCACAGCTTTCTTGCAGGGCAGCCTGCACGAGGAGATCTTGCTGCGCCGCCCACCTGGCTTCACTGGGTCTTTCCCTCCTGGTACCCAGTGGAGTCTCCGGCATCCCGTCTACGGTCTCTGCCAGGCGCCACGTGAGTGGCACGACACACTGAGGACTACGCTTGCGGCTCTTGGGTTTGCTCCTTCTACTGCCGACCCGTCACTGTTTCTGCGCACCGACACCTCTCTGCCGCCGTTCTACATCCTCGTGTACGTCGACGACTTGGTCTTTGCCACAGCTGACACTGCTGGACACGCCTACGTGAAGTCCGAGCTGCAGAAGAGACACACGTGCACTGACCTGGGTGAACTGCGCAGCCACCTTGGCTTGCAGATCACCCGGGACAGAGCACGCCGCACCATTACCCTGACTCAGTCACACATGGTGCAGCAGGTCCTTCAGCGCTTCGGCTTCACGTACTCCTCGCCTCAGGCCACTCCTCTGCCTACTCGCCACTCACTCTCAGCTCTGCATTCGGATGAGTCCGTAGAGTCGAGTGGCCCGTATCCAGAGCTTGTTGGCTGCCTCATGTACCTGATGACCTGCACACGACCTGCCCTTGCATACCCTCTTAGCATTCTTGCACGCTATGTTGCTCCTGGGAGACACCAACCAGAGCACATGGCTGCAGCGAAGAGGGTGTTGCGCTACTTGTGCAGTACGTCGGGCATGGGGCTAGTGCTTGGAGGGCGGAGTCCAGTGGTCCTCACTGGGCACGCGGACGCTTCTTGGGCTGACGACCAGGCTACGCAGCGGTCGTTACAGGGTTACATCTTCAGCCTTGGTTCCGGCTCTGTTTTGTGGCGGGCTAGTCGCTCGTCTTATGTTCTCGGCTCCAGTTGTGAGGCTGAGATCTACGCCGGGGCCATGGCTGCACAGGAGCTTCGCTGGCTCACCTACCTGCTGAGCGACCTTGGAGAGCCGCCTCGTTCTCCTCCAGTCCTATACGTAGACAACAAGGCCATGCTGGCCTTGTGTCGAGAGCAGCGACTGGAGCACAGAACGAAGCACATTGCTCTCCGCTACTTCCTTGCTCGTGAGCTACAGCAGCGTGGACAGTTGCGGTTTGCGTACGTGGCCTCTGAGACCAACACTGCTGATGTCTTCACCAAGGCACTTGCACCTTGTGATCATCAGCGCTTCTGCACTTAGCTGGGTCTTGTGCCTGTCTTGCCTCACTTCCTCACCTCTTGACCTTGCTTGTACTGTCACATATATATATATACCTGCTCTTGCTTGTCTAGTTTTATATATATGTGTACTCTTGCATGTGAACTGGCCTTGTGGCCTTGACCTTGTGCTCGGACTGTGTGGTGACTTTGAGATCCACCCTGAGCTTGCTTTGCTTTGCTGGACTGGTCTTGTGACCCCTTGTTCTCCCCCGCTTTGCCTATGGGGGTGTGTCAGAATGCTATATAGCTTATACCTTTGTGTAGGCTATAGTGGGGTATCCCATAAGGGGATACAACCCAATTAGGGTTAGTACTTGTACTCACTCCTTTCATAGTTCATTCATTCTCGTTTTCTATTCTCACATGAGATAATTAAGACATGCAGATACAGTGAATATAAATATGAGTACAGGGAAGACGAAACGACCTAGTTAGCCATGTACTCTAAGGGGTACATTCCCTTATTCAAATACATCCCAACCGTACGGCGCGTACAGTTTCGTAACTGTTCCCGCCAAAACCATCCTGCCTGCAGTTGCCTGATGTCGTCTGCTCCCGACGGTCCAGATGTGCTGCAACCGTCCGACTCTTCGATTCAATTTCAACCGTCTGACGCTTCGCGTTCATTCCCGATATTGCGTGTTCCTTTTGCTGCGGTGAGGAGTGCTCAGTAATATCAAATATTACTATTCGTAATACTGATCAAGCAAGGATAAAGAAAAATATGTATCCAGCGGGTAGCCATGGAACACCAGAAGTTGATTTGCTTGTGCATTGAATAAGTGTTTTCAAGGAGAGCACATGCTATTCTGTACCGGTACCACTCATCCAAAGCAAAGCATGCGCAAAGAATGCACATAGTGTTTTTCAAGCTACATAGTACAAGTTTGCAAAGCAGGCTCTAGAACTCACAGCACCATTTTGCACCTTCTGGCTTTGAAACGGGGAGTTGTTGGTGCATACTTATCATATAAAAGGATTTGTTGTGTCATCAACTCGGATTGAAAATGCTTGAAAAGCCTGTTAAATAGCAAATATTTGAACGGCATTATCTCTCACGATCCAGATATGCCTATGAACTTCCAAAGGGAATGCAGTCGAAGAGAGCCATAAGAGGTTATGTGGGAGTGACGGCAGAGAAGATTAGAAGAGAGCCATGCCATCAGAGGTTATGTGGGAGGTGGCAAATGCGAGGAGGGAGAAGAGAAAGATGCCATGATCAACCACGCAAGCCCTTGAGCCAGGCAACGAAGCCCTTTTTAGGAGCTGCAGCAGAAAACGAGAAGGGAAAAAACGTTGCAACAATTAGTGGGTACCAAGCAGAATATGACGAAACGACAAGGGAGGTTGAAAAAAGATGTTGATCTCATGGTCACTAATGTGACAACATGACGCGGGAGAGTGAACATATGCTGGTCACTTATGTGACGAAATGAAGCGGGAGAGTGAAACGATTGTTGATGTCATGGTCACTAATGTGACGGCATGACGTGGGAGAGTGAAACAGATGCTGGTCACTTATGTGACGAAATGACGCGGGAGAGTGAAACAGATGTTGATGTTATGGTCACCAATGTGACGACATGACGCGGGAGAGTGAGATGTCATGGTCACGGATCCGAATGTGATGGTGATGAATGCCAAGAAAAGGAACGGAGCTTATGATGCGAAGGAACAAGAAGGTGACCAAGTGAACTAGGCACAATCTTATATGAAAACGACGTAGCAGAATTGATGATGTGAGTGGGTCATGATGATGTGAATTTAAAACCATGTCTTAATTTGGCGGCATGAGTCCATGCCATGCGACATGTAGTCATCAATATATATAACCATTAGTATGGTCCTTTGGGCCGCAGCGTACGTACGATCGGGTCTTCCGCAGTCGTTGATATAGTAGTCGACCCTGGCGTTGCATTGCTCCAGCGTCTCGTTTTCTGGCGAATTGCAATACCCGTTGCTCCGCATATTCTTCACCTCATCACATGTATAAAACCCTACAGCCCACTCGAAGGGAAGACAGGAGCAGGGGAGTTTGCGGGTAACAATAGAATCAGCACCAATACAGGGCCCAGCTATCATTGAGAGGAAAAAATAGCAATAACCACTAGATGCTGGTACTATTGGTGACTTGGTGACTCACTCAAAGTGTTCGGCATGAATGACGTCATAGGAAAGGGTACATGATGAAAGAATCTGATGATGAGAAGGAGGGAGACCTTACCATCGGAAGTCTTCTTGGGCTCGGCCTTCTTGGCAACAACGGCAGTGGAAGCATACGGTGAGAGAACGAGCGCAACAACTAGCACGAGAGAAATAGCAGTGATTCCGCTGAGGCGCGCCATCATGACAATATTAGGATATGATTAGTCGTTGTGGCTCTGAGTCGTACTATACAGGAATGAGCGAAACCCACCTGAGGACTACTAAATACAGATCTAAAGCTCTTCTTGTGCAGTTCATGACAGGCGAACTGGAACGGAATGTGGTTGCTATGGGGGCTGTTGGATGCATTCGTTTCGCGTTCGAATTGCATTCTGCCTCGAAACGCGATCTGCATCGAGCTTTGGGATCAAATATGCTGGGATGGGCACCTCGATTTCACAAAATTCACAGCCCAGCAAGAGCACCACATGTATTTCGGGTAACTCGCACACGATGTTCGTTAAGTTTGCTGCTTGGTTGTGCTCGATCTCACTGCAAAGTATGGACGATTTTAGCTAAGATGCTCGATCTCGCTGGTTGGAGTTTCACTGAGGGATTCCGTAGATGCTCGGAGGAGAAATTCGTTGGCGTGCGCTGACCCGAAGCTGTGAAGTTACTGCGACCCCAATCACACGCAGCGAACATCAGGAACGTGATGATCGCGAAATTCGCGAAACTGAACGAAAACCGAGGTGCTAATTTTGAATACGTCCCAGCGCTGAACGCGTCACATATTGAAAATCACGTTCCCCGTCAGATGCGGCGACTGAATTAAAAATGACCCGTTATAAAGATTGTGCAAAGGGATCCTCAAGGGAACCGCACAGCTTCCTATGTTAAAAGGAATAAATTAAACAAATAACGCAGGGAACTTGATCGAGATTCCAGAAAAGAACAGGTAAAACAAGTGATTGAGAACAATATGTCAGAATGTTATATTTGTTCTCTAGCCTGCAGTGGGGTACTCTATAGCGAGTATAACCCCTTAGGGTTTCGTATATGTATCTCATTGCTTGCTAGTACAACCCCTCTTTTGCCTAACTTCTTTCTTGCCTAGCTAGGTTATTCCTAGCTATGGCTTCTTCCATTACCTACCTATCTTCACATGGTGATCAGAGCAGTAAGCTCCTGGCCTGTGTGCCTAACCACGAACCTTCCGCTGCAACTATTCCTCTCTCTTTCCGCCGTGCGTCCCGAGGCGCGCGGCGATTTTTCTACCCGCCGCGCGCCCCGGGGCGCGCGGCGTTTCTCTTCCCGCCGTGCGCCCCGAGGCGCGCGGCGGGTTGCTGCCCCGTCACGCCATGCGCCGCCCCCGGGAGACGCTGTGACGGGCGACGGGGACCTCCGCGTCGCCCCCCGTCGCCCGTCGTGGCCTTTGTGCGGCCCGTACAGGCAGCGCGCGGCCCGTACTGGCTGCGCCAGACCCACGCGCTGCCCGTACGGGCTGCGCCAGGCTCGCGCGCGGCCCGTACGGGCTGCGCCAGGCCCGCGCGCGGCCCGTACGGGCTGCGCCAGGACGTCGCACGGCCCGTACGGGAGGCGCCCGACCCGCGCGCGGCTCGGGCTGCATGCGCGCGGCTCGGGCGTCCCTACCAGGCCCGTGGTGGGCCCGATCCTCCCTGTCCCTTCCCTCCCCGCTGACCCCCAGTGTTCCTACGGCCGCCCCACCCCTCTTACTCCCCATTCCCCTATATTAGGGTTTGGGGGTGAGGGGTATGGGGGTGACCCTCCTCAGTACCGCTCCTTGCTCCTCCTCCTCCTCCGTCTCCTTGTGCTGCAGCTGCCGCTGAGGGGGGGGGGTGATTGTGGTGGAGCCGGTGGAGTGATACTAAGGGGGGGTGAAGGGGAGTGGTGCTAGCGGTGTAGCAGTGGGTGTGTGCCAGGGGGAGTAGGACAGTTTTGGGAAGCTGCATGGAGGTTGCCGTTGTGTCGCTAGCAGCACCTGTAGTCCGGGGACTTCGTCCGGTAGCCCAGTCGTAGCCAGCTGTGCCAGCCGCCCGTGGGTCCGTTGCTCGTCTGCCGCTACTTTAGCCGCGGGGCCAGTCTGCTTCCTGTTGCCCGTGTGTCTGCAGCTTCATCCGTTGCCTCCTATCTCCTTTCCTCTCACTCTCTCTCCTCCGCCTCACTTGCCCGTTGTGACAACCTCTAGCTTTGCTTATAACTGTGAACTTTATACTACTGCTGCTTGAACTTGTGCCTAGATTGTGTGGTGACATTGTGATCCACCCTGAGCTTGTTCTGTTTTGTTTGCTCTGCTGATTGCACCCCACTTTGGCTATGGGGGTGTGTCAGAATGTTATATTTGTTCTCTAGCCTGCATTGGGGTACTCTATAGCGAGTATAACCCCTTAGGGTTTCGTATATGTATCTCATTGCTTGCTAGTACAACCCCTCTTTTGCCTAACTTCTTTCTTGCCTAGCTAGGTTATTCCTAGCTATGGCTTCTTCCATTACCTACCTATCTTCACACAATATAACATTCTAAGCAGATTGGACATGATGCCCTGATGATTGCATGATTTCAGATTCAATGTTACAGATACAAACATTTTTCAACGAAATACGGGCCTGCTCACGAAGAGACACATATGACACAGGTAGACACCATTGTTCGTGAGCCAATTAGAGTGATTCATTAGGTAACAACCATAATTTGGTGAACTGCAAATATTGTGGTACAGACTCCCATGCAGAGAAACTAATCTATGAGTTAGTCATGCTGTGATTTTCCGTCAAGCTTAGCCTCACGCCGGCCAGTTGCACCACCATAATGACAAAAAGGGGAACTTTCGAGCAAGTTTTTTGGCAACAGCAGAGAGGGCGAGATGTAGGGAGAGCAGCAGAGGGTGGTCTTGGAGGGCAGATGCAATGGCAGCAGTGGAGGCGTGGAGAGCTGTGGTTGTAGTGTGTGTGGCCCTGGTTGGGTGGTGGGATGGGGGGATGGGGAAATAAAAACCTAGGGTTCTGATGCCACGAGGTGTGCTGAGGTGGCGAGATAAGGAGAACGTTATGTGGTGAGAAGGTAATGTGGTGCAAAAGTGGAGAGATGTTGAGAAGGTGATATGGCAAGAAGGTAAGGGGGGGGGTGAGATGATGAAAAGGTGATGTGGCAAGAAGGTAATGCGGTCAGATGGTGAAAGCAGGGAGGAAGAGAGACAAGATGGAGAGGATAAGGGAGGAGCTGATAGGGAAGTCTATGATAAAAGGGATTTGAGAAAGGTGGGGAGCATCTCATGACACCATTACACCATCGTCCCTCACCACACAGCACAACTGTCACCCACTCTCACCCTCTCCCTCTCACGGCCTCATCACAATGTGACTCCATCCCAATCTCCCCCACTTCTTCCGTTTTCCCTCCCCCAATCTTTCTCTCCCCACTTCCCCCTCCCCCCACACACACATCAAGCCCCTCTTCAATCTTCCACGTTTACCCCACTCCTCGCTATCTCTCCTCCACACACCTCATACCTTCGAACCCCCCCCTCCCCCCTCCCCTCTCCTCCATACCCCACTGTAGCTCCTCTGCTGCAAACTGCCGACGGAATGCCGCCCATGCCGCCCGTCCCTTGGCATCTGACGTGGCATCAACGTACGCATAATTAGCCAGCTCGTCTCCACTGGTTCTAAGCTCCATCCCAAACCCCCACCTCCTCACCCTCCTCCTCCTTCCCCTCCTCCTCACCAACCTCTTCATCCCCTCCTCCGATTCTCCCTCCTCCTGCTGAGTCTGATGAGGATGATGAGGGGGATGGGGATGATGAGGGGAATGAGGATGATTAGGGGAATGCGGATGATGAGGGGAATGGGGATAATGAGGGGAATGGGGATGATGAGGGGAATGAGGATGATGAGGGGAGTGCGGATGACAAGGGGAATGGGGATGATGAGGGGAATGGGGATGATGAGGGGAATGAGGATGATGAGGGGAATGAGGATGATGAGGGGGATGGGGATGATGAGGGGAATGAGGATGACGAGGAAAATGGGGATGATGAGGGGAATGAGGATGATGAGGGGAATGAAGATGATGAGGGGAATAGGGATGATGAGGGGAATGAGGATGATGAGGCGAATGGGGATGATGAGGGGAATGGGGATGATGACGCGAATAGGGATGATGAGGCGAATAAGGATGATGAGGGGAATGAGGATGATGAGGCGAATGAGGATGATGAGGGGAATGAGGATGATGAGGCGAATAGGGATGATGAGGCGAATGGGCATGATGAGGGGAATGAGGATGATGAGGGGGATGAGGATGATGAGGGGGATGGGGATGATGAGGGGAATGAGGATGACGAGGAAAATGGGGACGATGAGGGGAATGAGGATGATGAGGGGAATGATGATGATGAGGGGAAGGGGGATGATGAGGGGAATGAGGATGATGAGGGGAATGAGGACGAGGAGGTGAATGAGGATGAGGAGGCGAATGAGGATGATGACGCGAATGAGGATGACGAGGCGAATGGGCATGATGAGGGGAATGAGGATGATGAGGGAATGAGGATGATGAGGGGAATGAGGATGATGAGGGGAATAAGGATGATGAGGGGAATGAGGATGATGAGGGGAATGAGGATGATGAGGGGAATGAGGATGATGAGGGGAATGAGGATGATGAGGGGAATGAGGGTGATGAGGGAAATGAGGATGTGTCAGGGAATGGAAGAGACAAGGCTGTGAGGATGGTGGTGCGTGAAAGAGATGGAGAGGAGGGCGGATACCCTTTGAAGGGAGGTGGGTGAGACGATGGGTGAGGTGATTCATTTATAAATCTTCCTTAAAGATGTGGGTGAGACGATGGGTGAGGTGTCACCTGTACAAGTTGGCATCACCTCAAAGAGGGATGGCTAGGGGGGAGGTGGGGTGTGTGTGACGGAGGAAGAAGGGGGGAGGCAAGTGGGGGGAAAAAAATAAATTCATGTGACTCATGAGCTCGAGCCCATCTCCCCAAGCCCGTCAGCTCAACCTCATTCGCTCTCGGACTCGTGTGCTCAAGCCCATCTCCCCAAGCCCGTCAGCTCAACCTCATTCGCTCTCAGACTCGCGTGCTCGAGCCCATCTCCCCAAGCCCGTTAGCTCAACCTCATTCGCTCTCAGACTCGTGTGCTCGAGCCCATCTCCCCAAGCCCGTTAGCTCAACCTCATTCGCTCTCAAACTCGTGTGCTCGAGCCCATCCTCTCAAGCCCGTCAGCTCAACCTGATTCGCTCTCAGACTCGTGTGCTCGAGCCCGTCTCCCCAATTCCGTCAGTTCAACCTCATTCACTCTCAGACTCGTGTGGAGCCCATCTCCTCAAGCCTGCCAGCTCAACCTTTTTCGCTCTCAGACTCATGTGATCGAGCCCATCTCCTCAAGCCCGTCAACTCAACCTGATTCGGTCTCAGTGCGTGCTCCTACGGCCCCTTTTCAGGCCAACCTCTGACCGTCATCACCCGGATATACCCCCAGGCTATGTTCCACTCATGCGGTTATAATCGGACTAGTGCGCTTATAGACAGTTGCCGATTATAGCCGCACCCTATTTTCGGCCTATCTTAGGATAAGCCCACCCCCTTTTGCCTGGGATGAGCCCACCCTCCCAAAGTCCCTGAAATGGCCTTGTAAGCACTCCTAATCATCTTTCATTAATAATTAAGCATCTAGACATTTCTAATCCTAGTCATTTTTTAGATGCCTAGCTACGGGATCTTGGGCCTAAACCTTCTACAATAATTTTGCAACGTCTAATGGTAGCGGTCAACAGTGGGGTCGTCCAGATCATCCCCCTCCCCCTCCTCCCCATCTGATTTAGGCTCCTCCACGTTGTTGCCAGAGAAGTCATTCGCCGCCACTTCGTCGTCGATATCAACGAACACGGGTTCGTCAATGCGGCGGTGGCGCATGCACAGGTCATCATGGAAGCCGTCGAGCGCGTTACTGATGCCACAGGTCAGAAACGCCTTCTGGATGAGAGCTGCAGGAACTGCTCGCCACGCCTTCGCGATCCACTTGAGCGTCTGCTCAGGTGGGGGCTTCTTCAGGTTGACTGCGTGCAATCCGAGCATTCCTGGTTAGACTAGCAAATAAAGGACGAGGCAACGTGGCTAGCGTGACACATACAGTACCGTACCTTTGGCAGTGCGGGTGTTGATGCCCTCGCTTTCGAACCACGCCTGGTATTGCTGACGCATAGAAGCCTTGAATGCGCTGTTAACGGACACATCGAGTGGCTGCACCTCATACGTGCAGCCGGCCGGGATCACGGCGGGGCCGATGTCCAGCTCAGCATACTTCTCCCTGACCGCTTCGGTAAGGTGTCAGCGGTAAGAGTCGAGGATTAGAAGGGTCCTGCGTGCATGATGACCAAAGGCCGGCCTGGTGTAGGGACGCACGGCCTCGTCGAGCCACTTGAGAACACCGTCAGCGTCCATCCACCCTTTCGGTTGTGCGGCGACAACCACATCTGCCCAAGGACAGTGTAGGTAAAGCGAAGGCCGGTCGGTACTAGGCACAGTTCACGATCAAATGCAGAGAGAACTTACCGGGTGGGAAGTCACCGCATGGCGGTCGCTTTCGCTTGAAAGACACCCACGGCTTCAACTTCTCGCCCGAAGTCGTGCACGCCAACATAACCATCACCCTCTCCTTCTGGAAACCGGCGCTCCGAACCGGCACGGACCACGCACCAACCTCTTCGAGGGTTGTTTCAGCAGGCATCTCGAGCCACAATGGTGTCTAATCCACGTTGATGATGAAGCGCGGGTCGATGTCGTAATTGCAACGGGTGTGGCATACAAACATCCAGAAATTTTGGATCTGAACCTCCTTTCTGCAGGCGCGCAGAAAAATGAACAACGACAAACAAATTAGACGAATTCCAAATATTCGGCGGCGAAAAGCATGAGGAAACTTCCGAGAGTACTCACGGTCGGATAAGTTCTGCCCGACTTTGGTTTTAGCTCGCACCGAAAGGTTCCAGCGGCGCTGGAAGCGCTTCGTCCAACGGTTAGACCCCGTCCAGGCGACATCGGGGTGCAGCTCCTTCATGGATTCGTGGGACCACTGCTGCAGCCTCCCCATAGACACCGCAACACCTTTCACGCGTGTCGCGGGGAGCCGCGAATACACCTGCAGCTCCATGTTGGGGTACCACGAGGACCGGCCGTGCTCGTGAAGACGCTTCCGACACTTCGCAATTGCCTCCAGCTCTTTGCGCTTTGTGACCCATTCGGCAATCGAGCGCATGGAGATTCCAGATTCGCGTGACACCTCGCTGACGTTGTGGGTGACTGCGAGGCGGTCGACCCACTTCAGCTTCTCGCCGGCGGTGTAAGCATGCTGTTTACGTGTCGTAACCTTGCTTCTGGGGGAAGGGGGACGAGCATCTCGATTCGCACGAGAGGGATGAGGCCGTTTACGGTTACGAGGGGGAAACGTGGGGATGGGAAGGTGTTCGGGGAGTCCGTCATGTGACCAGTACTCCACACCATCGGCGTCGCCATCAACAGATTCTTGTGAGAATCTAGGATCGAGCTCAAAAAAGGGAGTTTCAATTGAATGAATCACCTGGGTACAATACGAGGCTATATATAGGCTCGACACAAGGGGCAGTAACCAGGTGTTACGCGAAGGTTCCGAGAGTTGCGAAGCGTCCCAAACAGACCCTTCCCGAAAACGGTAGAAGGCAATTCGGTGGCAACTGAATAGCCCACAATTCGATGTACGCAAGCTAGCTCGGTGCTATAACTATAATAAATTGTAGGAAAGCACCTAGCCTAGGAAATCAAGCAATTCATGCATGCATAAAAATAACCTAAGCTAGTAATAGCGTAATAAAGTAAAAGCAATCATGCATGGCTGGCATAAGCCGTCGTACTCTCACACGTCCCCCCCTCAAAGCTGGGTGGCGTGAGATATGTCAAACTAATATACTATAGTCTGTGTACGCTGTAGTGGGGTAGCTTATATGGGGTACAACACTTTAGGGTTTGGTACTTGTACTCCTCATGCTGCTCAATGCATTCATTCTCGTTCTAGTTTTCTCATGGCATCAGAGCAGGTTCCCCCGTGGGAACTGTTCCTAGGGCCCACCGATCCGATTTTAAATTTGCCCGGAGCGTGCTTAGCCCTTGCCCGAGTCGCGCCCCGTGGGTCTCCCCTCTTACGGCCCCTAGCGGCCCCTCTCACCGCCCCTTGCGGCCCCGTGCGGTCCCCCCGCACGGCCGCCTTCGCGGCCCCATCACCGGCCCCTCCTCCCCGCGGCCCCATTGCCGCCCTTACGCGGCCTCGTCGCCGCCCTTCAGCGGCCCCGCCGCCACCTCTCAGCGGCCTCGTCGCCGCCCTTCAGCGACCACGTTGCCGCCCCTTGCGGCCCCGTTGCCGCCCTTCCCTGGCCCCTCAGCCGCCCTCCCCGGCCACGCTGAGCAGCCGAGCTGCCGACACTGCCCAGCCGCCTGTGTCGCCGAGTCGCCGAGCCGCCTTTGCCGCCGACCCGCCGAGCCACTGAGCAACCCAGCCGCCCAGCCGCCGAGCCGCCGAGTCGTCGAGCCGCCGAGCCGCCGAGCCGCCAAGCCGCCGAGCCGCCGAGCCGCCCTACCGCCGAGCCGCCCTGCCGCTGAGCCGCCGAGCCGCCCTGCAGCCGAGACGCCGCAGTCCATGCTCGCGGCCCTTTCCCTGCTGGCCTACCTCGGCCCGCCTCACCTGCCCGGTAAGCTCAGAGCCTCTGCCACTGCACTGCCCTACCTCGCTGCTCTATCTGCTCGTCCACTACTATCATGGCCACCCCCAGTGTTCTCACCTTTGACGCTGAGGGTCAGGATGTTGACTTTGAGGTTTGGGTAGATGACCTGCAGCATTTCTTACAGTGCGATAGGGCAGACGGTCTCTCCCTCTTTGACCTCACTTCTAGTGCCTCTCCTGCCCCTGTTGCTGACACTAACGCCACTGTTCGCTCACAGTGCGCCACACGCGATGCTGCTGCCCGCCTTGCCGTGCACCGCCATTTTAGTCAATACAAGAGTGCTAAGACCTTGTACAACGCTGTAGTTGCACGCTACTCTTCCCCTGCCACTACTGCACTTAGCCGCCTCATACTGCCGTACCTCCTCCATGACCTCGCCGCTTTTCCCATAGTCACTGACCTCATTACGCACCTTCACACTAGTGACATTCGTGACCGCGCTGCCCTTCCTGCTGAGTTCTGCGCTAAGAACCCCCCCCCCTATGTACATCACCCTCTACTACATAGTCACCCGGCTCCCTGACACCCTTCGCCCGGTCAGGGACCACTTTCTCTCTGTTTGCCCCACCACCCTCACTGTTGACCTCCTCGAGGAGCGCCTCCCAGCATCAGAGAAGAACATAGTCGCTGTAGGAGCCTCTCGTGGTGACCCTCGTGCCCCTATCTTTGAGGGGTGCTCCCCCTCCCGCCTCTTGCCCTCTGTTGCCTCTGCTGCTGCGGCCGACCTCGTTGGTCTTGAGTCAGTCGGTGCAGCGTCTGCCCCTAGCGGGAGACGCCGCTCAGGCAAGGGCAAGGGGGGCAAGGGAACTGGAGGAGCTGGTGGGGGCGGTGGAGGCGGCGGTGGTGGCGGCGGAGGGAGTGGGAGTGGCGGTGGGGGTGGTGGTGGGGGCGGGGGCGCTAGTGGCGCCAGTGGAGCCGGAGGAGGAGGCGGTGGTGGCGGTGCGGGCGGAGGTGGCAAAGGTGGAGGCGGTGGTGGAGGTACCGGCGGCGGAGGTGGAGCTGGTCGAGGCGGCTCTACGCAGA